GGGAAACCTGGCGTTAACGTTTCCAGTGCTTTCTTAGAGAAAAAAACAACCAAGGGCCGAGCAAGCGGGTCCCGAGAGCAGGCGGGTCCCGAAGGAAAAGCTGGCGGAAGGGGGCTGGTGTCACAGCCCACAGACACCGTCACTCCTGGCCTTTCCTTCCAAAAAAAACTACATCACGAATGAGAAGCACATGGGACCAGCACCTCAGCGTAGCCCCCCACCACGGCACACGGGTAAGAGAGCAGCTCTCCAGCAGGAGACACGGTCCCCGGCGGTACAGCCCCCCATCCACACCTGCCCGTGATGCTCGGCCACACAGAACCCCTGGGCACCTCCCGGGGTGCCCCATGGAGCACCCCATGGAGCACCCCATCTTCCCCCGAGAGAGGAGGAACAAACAACTTGTGACACATCAGTCACGTTACGGATGGAGAAGCACCCTCGTGCCATAGTGATAAGCAGCATACAAGAGCCTAGACAAATAAAATCCAATTTTACCGACAACAACTCTGATACTGATAACCTCTCCTGGCTTTCCAAGTGTGATACCTCCTTCCCCCGGGAGAGGAGGAACAAACAACTTGTGACACATCAGTCACGTTACGGATGGAGAAGCACCCTCGTGCCATAGTGATAAGCAGTATACAAGAGCCTAGACAAATAAAATCCAATTTTACCGACAACAACTCTGATACTGATAACCTCTCCTGGCTTTCCAAGTGTGATACCTCACAGGTCTTTTTGAGCTTCCACGTTCTTTTCCCTCCTAGGTCACTGAACAAAACAGATGGAGCGAAACACCTCCCCGAGGATGCAGAGCCAGCCCTGTGCCAAAGGCCACTCACGTCTCAGCAGCACAGACAGCAAGAGGTGAGCACCCTTTGAGGGCCACCAGCCAGAAACATCCCTGCACAGCCAGGTCCTCACTCACAGGGGGCTGACCGACGTCCACCATGCTGTAGAAACTGAATGCACATAATCTAAAGATGCCATCAGTAAACATGTAACAGACTGAGCAAAGGGCACAAGTCTTCTCCCCCTTAGCAATGAGTTCTTGGCAGACCTCGTAAGATATTTATGCTGCTGTCACTACGGTGACCAATTAAAGAGAAAAAAAGTCATTTGGCCCTTTGCACCCCCAAACCCAGCATCTATTTTTGCAGGAGCTGTAGGAGTACAACCTGCGACTCAGGTTTCCCCCCTTGCAGCCTCCAGCAACGAGGAAACCTCCCGTTCCTGTGGGAAGGAGCCAACAGCTTGACAACCTGCGACTCAGGTTGCAGCCTCCAGCAACGAGGAAACCTCCCGTTCCTGTGGGAAGGAGCCAACAGCTTGACTCTACGGAGCCAGTTTTATGTACCCGAACAGACAGAGCACAAAGCTGGGCAGGAAGCTGGCACGTGAAATTGTATAATAGTGCAAGGTGAGACGAGGATTTTATTCCCGCCTGATGTGTGTTTATTCCCACCACAGAGGTTGTGTATCTCCAGCCCTTACAGACACTGCACAGAGCACTGGAGTCACCAATACCCTCTGCTGCCCATAAGCTGGGTGTTACTGGGACACCAGAGGCTTCCCAGGGCTGAGGGTAATATCACAGATCAAACACGACCGTGCAGTGTACAAATAACACACAAACCTCAAACACGGACCCGACCGTGCAGTGTACAAATAACACACAAACACGAATCATCCCACGGTTCCTGCCTGAGGGGCATGAGATTCCCAGGTTTTAGCAAGAGCCATATCCGTCTCCCTTGACATCTCCTGTCACCACCACCCCTGCTGCAGCCCTGCAATACCAGGAATTGAAGATGATGCACCTCAAAGCTCCAGAAAGGAAGCAGAAAGGAGGCCGGAAAGCTGGGACAGCTTCTGAACACACACTTGGGGTCAAATGCAAACCTGCTGACTTTGGAAACAGAAAATCTGGAGAAGTGCTCATGTGATCAACCAGTGGAAACACACCTGGAACGGCCACATCAGCAGAGCTATCGCTTAGACACCATGGAAGACACTTTTGGAGAAGAACCAGGTGAAACAAACCAATAAATCCCAGAGCTCTGCAATGTCCTAAGTCACAAATGAAACCTCAAAGTCAAGCACGGATTGAGGCCATGAGTTGTCTTCAGCACAGATTTTATGACTAGAACAAGGCAAAGTGAGAAAATCCATTGCAGACAAGAGCCTTAGAGATTAATTGATATTAAAATCAGGATGTTTCATTCTCTCAAAGGCTTAAATCAGAGCAATATGCTTCTAAATAGGCATAAAAGGCAGAAACAGGAAATATCCCAAAGAAGTGAACTTACTAAGAAAAAATGTACACAAATGGAAACCAAATATGTGTGCTGGATGTCTCACTCCCACAGGACACTGGTAATACAAGGCTAAGCCACGAACACGGCAGCCAGGCCAGCTGAAATCACTCGCTGATGGGGCTACAGAGCCAAAAAGATGCAAACCCAACCATTTACACCCAAGGCAAAGCAGTATCCAGCGTGATAACAAAGCTGATGTGGTAGATGTTGAAAAGGATCTCACTCGGTGGCTGGGGAAAGAGGGGGGGATTCAATGTTTTTCAAGGAAAAGCATTCCATCATCCTGTGACAGGGCTGACAGTGGGACCACAAGGCAGCAGCCCTCTCTCTCAGGGGACAGTGCGAGGCCAGAGACTTAATGACCAGCAAATAACTGGGGCCTCTGGGTCTCCTCTGCAGAACTAAGGCGAGCCCAGGGAAAGAGGCATCTCCTCCCTTGTGTTCTGTCACCACCAACCCCCCTTTAGAAGATTTTTCATCCGATTCTGAAGGGGAGCAGGGCTGCTGTACATGAGCACAGTACACCCCGTGTGTCAGGGCATAACTCCTGTGTGCCTGTGGGTACTGGTGGAGGTCGCTGGTGCTGGGTGAACTGGGTGACAAAGTCCACGGGCTGTGCTTTAGAGAGCCACACAGTGCTGGAGCCGACTGCGAGGGCAGGGGAGAGGATACGGAACCAATTCCCCAAATGACATCTGCTGCTTGCCAGTTATTTTCACAGTTCTGCGTTACAAAGCTGTGGAATCAGCAAGAAAGGAAATTTCTCAGAAATCCTCATGCTGGGGCTGGCTGTTACACTCCCCGTTCCAGCGACTGCTCCACACGTACCTCTGCCAGGCTGCAGGCTGTCAGGGCTCCCACTGAACCGGGTAAACACGCAGCAGTAGTTTTAAATAGCAAAGTCAGATGTGTCATGTTCTCCCTCCAACCTCAACCCTCCTGGCTCCCACATCCTCTCCACACACCACGTGTGTGGTGTTTGCTTGTAAGCACTGTAAATAAGACAGATTAAGGATTTTGGATGGGATCAGGACTTCGCTGACATCACCAGCAACAGTCCAGCTGGCTTAGGAAGCACACTCATTAACACCAGACGGTGATTGCTGGCTGATGGGCACCTATGAATCCTGGTAATGGCTCCTTCCCAAATACATTCTTATCAAATTACATGTTTTGCCTGGCTTCCAGCTGGAGTTAATGAATGCCACGTACCTGCCTCAAACTGCACTTGGCATTTCCAATCTAATGACCTCAGGACACTGGGAGGGGGATTAAATGAGGTAGAAGAAAAGGAGGCAGAAGAACACTGACGGAAACAGGCAGCAGCTTGTCCAGATGTAGAGGGTGAATAGCAGGATCCCTGTCTCCAGCTCTGCCTTTCTATAGCCGAGTCTGCTGTTCTCTTCAATTAATCACCGAGTCTCATCCAGAAAGCACTCAGAGGTGGAGCTCTACAGCTCTCCCAACAGAGAGGCACCAAGAGCAGGCAAGGGGGACTCCGAATGCCAATCACTCTGTACAAGGAGCAGGGCAGTTAGGATAAAAAAGTTCTGCTCCCTGACTATCCAAGCTGGACTAGGCCCTCCTCTGGCCAGGGGGATGGCCTAGACAACTCTTGAAATCCCTTCCCTGTTTTCCTATTAATGGGAAATTTGCTCAATGAGTTCAGTGCTGCTTATTTTCAAAAGACTTTGAGTCACACTTCAGGGGAGTCAAGGGAACACAGACACGTTTTCACCCCTCCTGGCTCTAAGCCTCCTCCAGGCAGCACTTGGCTGTACAGCTCCCTCGGGACCCTGACCTGCAGCTGCCCTGGCTGGGATTCCCTTGCTGTCACCTCGCCTCCAACAGCCTTCCCAGCCCCTTTGGGCACCATCTTTCCCCCAGCAATTAACGTGGTAAAGCCCGAAACATCAAACCCTAAAGCATGAGCTTCATTTGCACCCACTTCAAAGCTGCTGTACGCTGACAGAACGGTGTAACACCCGAGTAAAACACGCTCGACGTGATCTTTCCCCCGGCGGCCTCGGTGCCACACACAGACCTCTGCCCCCCAGCCCACGCGATGTGCCTTTAAGCTATTTCTAAAGCCACTTGGAAGCCTCTTAAGCATTAAGGGAGGGCTTAGTGGGACAGCTGGCCGTGACAGCCAAGAGACCAATTCCGGTCGCCGGGCAGAGGAAAGCCAACCCTGGCAGTGCCACCCCCCAGCTCGCCAGCCGCCACCGGCCGGTAGCCAC